AAAATTATTATAATATTATATATAATTAATATTAATATATATTTGTACTAATATATAATTATTATAATATTAATATAATTAATATTATATAATATTATAATAAAATTAAAATATATAATATTTATTATTTAATATTTAATATATACTATAATATAATGTAATATAATTTAAATAATAATAATAATAATAATAATAATAATTTGAATGTGTTGCTTCAATATTCAAATAATAATACACACGTTTATTCTACTTGTTAGTTAATTCTAATTGTAAATAAAATTTTCTATCTTCTTTTCTCTCTTTTCTTTCTTGAAACAACTTAATTCAAAATATTTGTAATTATTAGGAAAATATTCCTTCACGACATGTTTGCACGCATCAAACACACTAACTAAAGAATATTTCTTATCCCTCCTATTGCCAATCAACGAGAGAAAAATAATGAAAAATAGATAGAGAGAATGAGAAGAAATATAAAACTGTTAAACGATAAAAGCATAATGCATAAATCAATGTTCTAATAAGAAATTAATATTAAAGAGAATGTAATATTCAATAACGTGACTTGATAGTCAAGAAAAATTTCTATAATATACGTATGTATATGTATATGTGTGTACGTAGTATACTTATTTATGTAATATTTCGAAATACATTCTGAGAATTATGACACATTCATATACCACATTAAGAATTCAATAATACTGATTTACGTATGGTAATATAAAATCTTGATTTGTGTGTGTGTGTGTGTGTGTGAGGTAAATAACAAAAGATAGAAACAAAGGAAAAAAAAAATAAAAAACAAGAGAAATAATAAAATTACGAAAGAATGATTTAAATAGGAAAAGAATTATAATAAGAATGATTAATAATAATAATAATAATAATAATAATAATAATAATAATATTTGATAATGATAATTAATCAAGACTTGTTCAAGGATACGTGAAATGCGAAATTATATTTATAATTTCAAATAAAACCAAATCTAACTTTTAATAATATACTTCATCATCATATTTACAATCAAATTTGCATTGATATATAAATTTTGTAAATAATTGGCAACGTTTTAATACGTTGCCTATTATTTAAAAAAAAAAAAATTAATTCAAATAATATGACGTTTAAAAATGATTTTCTATAATTGAATAAAATATTTATCTGAATTATCTGAATTATCTGAATTATCTGAACACAGATCTGTTTAAAAATGTGAAACATCTATTATTGAAATATTTTGTCCATTTAGATAAATTTAAGTTCCGAGAAAGCTTATTTTCTTTTTAAAAGATCAGGATCCACCTTTGATCCTTTTGTAGTACCCGCTCTCTCTCTCTCTCTCTCTCTCTCTCTCTCTCTCTCTCTAATCCATTTTATAAACGTTGTAGGTGGCCTACATTAATGGACAGATAATCCTTTTTAAATTTCGGTATCTTTAATCTCGCTATTCTTGAACTTATCTTAACAATTATCTTATAATAATACTACACCCACACACACACATCTATATATATATTTATTTATTTATTTATTATATTATATATAATAAATTTATATTATAATTTATTATTTTATAATATGTAATATATAAAATAATAAAAATAATATTTATTTTATTATATGTATAATAAAATTATTATTATTATTATTATTATTATTATTATTGTTATTATTATAAAAATATAATAATATAAAAATAATATAAATATAATATATAAAATAAAAATAATATAAATATAATATATAAAATAAAAATAATATAAATATAATATTATAAAATATAATTAATAAAAATAATAATAAAAAAAATTATTATTTTGTTAAAATAATATAATATTAATAAAATAAAATATAATATTAATATAATATTAATAAAATAAAATG